CCTGTGCAGAGGGCAGGAAGGCTCTTGGGGTCAGAGCGCAGAGTCCCCTGCCTCCCCCCACCCGTCCCAGCCCAGGACCAGCACCCACCTTCCCTCTGTCAAACTCCTCGTCCCACTCATCGATGACAGTCTCGCTCCGGGCCCACGCTGCATCCCGAATGGCATCCTGGCTGACAGCTGAGATCTCGCCCTCCCAGGTCAAGACTGCAGAGCAGGGCGGTCAGCAGGGAGCACCCGCCTGCGCAGGGCCCCCTCCCCAGGCTGAAGCCCCTCACTCCAGCAACCCAACAGCCCCTGGGCCTGTTCTGCCCGGCTCCAGGAGCCCCCACAGCTGCCTGAGCTGGTGCTGGGGGGAGCCCAGGCAGAGCACGGAGGGCTCTGCCCACATCCAGGGCTCAAGGCAGGGGAGCCATGGGGCTGTTTACCCACCCCGGTGAGCAGGGATTACCTTGTTTGCCATAAGCCTTGTCCAAAGAGTTCCTGAGCAGCTCCTCCACCACGCTGGACTCCTCCTGGCTGCCAGGTGCTGTGCCAGCCCTACGGCCGGGCTTGGGGCTCAGGGCAGCTGGGCAGCGCCTGTACGTGTCTCCAGCCTGGCTGTCCCAGGCACACACTGCCACTGCGGAAAGAGGAGGGGTGAGGACAAGCCGGAGGGAGCACAGGAGCTCCTGTGTCGCTCCATCTCAGAGGCAGATCTTGCCCTAGGAGACACTGTTGGGATGAACAAGGCCCTGATGGCGCAGGGTGTTTGGGCACACTGGGGCCTGTCCTGGGCAGGGAGAAACTGGGGGTAAATCTTCACCCCCGAGGGGCCCGTCCCCATGAGTCTGGAGAGGAGCACACCCTCATCCAGGGTACAACCGGGCAGCTCTCCTGCATCAGCAGAATGCAGGTCAGATGAGGACAGGGCCAGGAAGACAGGCACCATCAGGGAAATTGTGGGGACCAGCAAGCACCAGGGACTGGACACCAGTGCTCTGAGGGGCTGCGTGGGCAGAGGAGCGGCCAGCTCTCCCCTGCCAGGCCCAGGCAGGGTGGAGGCACACGATCGTACCTGGGGTGCCGTCTGCGGTGTGGATGCCGTTGGCAGCCGGCCGCTCCAACACTGGGCTGCTGAGGCTTTCCCTCCGCTTGCGCTTGCGGTGCTCGCTCTCTCCAGCCCCAGCCTCCACGCTCCGCTGCTGCTTTGTCATCCAGGGCTCCGTCTCAGCCCTCCTAGAGCTGGGGAAGGCAGCAGGAGTCAGCTCGCTCTAGCCAGACCAGAGGGGCAAAGAATCCGAGCTCCCCGCAGGGCAATGGGAGGCAGGGACACCCGCACCCCAGTGCTGCACTCGGGGAG